TGACACTGCAAAAAAAAAAAAAAAAGGTACTTCTTACATCTAACAGCTTGTTGTTGGCACTCTCTTAACGTCTTGAATGTCAGACCATTCAATTATTGTATGTGCAAACGAGACCAGTTTTCAAAGCGGTACCTACTGAATTGCTGTGCACAATAACATCACTTTGACATAAAAAATAAAATGTTCATTGTGATGGACTGCCAATCTCGTGGAAATTTCAAGTCTCTAATTTGATTTTCAAACAGCAGTGAAATTAAATTATGGAAGCCAATTAAAAACTGGGTCATAACACCTAAGTACCTTGAGGATGGTGTTCTCTTTATTGACATGGAAACTGAGTGACATGCCTGGGAGACATTCAGGAAATGAGGAAACATAACTTCATACAAACAAACAAGCTTAAGGCAGAATCATTAGGCTTTAACACACTTAAACCAATGCTACATGAGAACTATTATAGAGATTATATATATTATATAAAATAAAATATTCCTATTTATGGGTGTATGGTGAAGTCTGTAAAAAGTGAAATGAAATCTGTTGTAACTGCTGTGAATTTAAGCAAACCTCTGCTCTCTGTGAATGATAAAACCACAAACCTTTTATAGCCATTTTAAAAGTCTACAAGCGGATGAGTGTTTTATACACAAAGTGGACAATTTAAAAAGGGTGACATTTGAGAAGAATAGTTGTGTGTATGTTTTACCGTGTCTTGTTCATCAGGTCGGCCCCCCTAGTTTTATAGTAATCCAGGTTCTGCTGAAACTGGTAGTTGACAGGTCGGGGATTGTTCTACAAAAGGAGGGACAGAATAAACAAGTTTTGTGTTAGCACATTTACAAGTCAGGAAAAAAATTTTCAGGTGTGCGTGATAAACACAAGACATGTCATGTGCATGCATGACTATGTAAACAGCAAGTTTCTGAGTCAATACATATGAGCAACCAGCCTCTTTCCCAGCCCCCCTCCCCGTTATTGGGGATGATGCCCCCTCCAGGTGTAACGGTGATGTGGACGTGGTGTGACATGGTCGTTCACTTGAGGGAAACACTGTCATGCTGGATCAGCACCTTACTGGATTCTCATCCTAGGAGAGTATTGGACAGGAGTATGGCGAGATGTGTTTGAGTGAACGGGTCAGTGAGTTTGGAGGAGGAACAGAAGATGGTTTAAACCAGGATATTGAGGGGTTTGCTAAGGTCACAGAAGCTGTATTGTCAGGTCAAATGTACATGGCAATGGCAGGTTTTCATCAAAAGGGAAGGGAAGAATGTGATCCTTCTGTGTGTGGAGAGAGGTAAGAGAGAGTGACAAGGCCTCTGATTTAGTGTGTGACAGGGAAAATAGTCTGAGGGCTGCAAGATATGGCAACAGATTACAACTGAAGTAGGAGAAGTTCTCAAGCTGTTAACACCTTGTCTTGTTTTCACTCTCGTTGTCTTGCAGTCACAACGGTCTAACATTACAAATAATAATTACATCACTGGTATAGGAAGCAGCTACTATAATTAAGCAATGACATTTTTAGGAACTGCAGTGTTTTCATGTTCAGTATTGGGGCGATTTTTCCTTTTAATACTGCATTCAAGTTCATGATTGAAGTCTACTAAAAAAAGATAACTGCACAAAAACAGTACAAAAAAAGCAGGAGAAATCAAAAGTGCAATTTATGCACCTATAACACAGCTGTATTAGATGTGAGGACTTTAAAAACAAAGCCACATATGTATTTGCATTTTTTGCAATTTGGGGCGAAGAATAATCTGTCAACCTATTTTGATCCAGCCCTACAGTATGTAAACCTCAAGCCGAAAGAAATCTTATTCTTACCAACGTGTCCTTAGTTTGTCCCACGTTTAGCCTTCTTATTTGTGCTCAAATCAAGGTTGGTACTGAATAAACTCCAGGCCATATTGTATATTTTAGGGATCTCAAAATTTGTGTTACACTACTCTACAATACACTGCAGCTGAGCTGACCTTTTGTAGTGCAGATAATGACACAGAGCAATGTTCTTCAACAAGAGAGTAAATGGATTTACTTTTTGAGGACTGGATGACAAATGGGGCTAAATTAAGTGTCTGGTTTCCTTCTGGATATATACCAAATTTACTGTCACCCAAATGTACCGTTGGGAGGACATGTTTTCAGTAGCTGTGTTTTCCTAGTGAGCTGTAATGTGAGGTTTCAAGTCCTCTTGCAGAATTTGTTACTTCCCCTTTTCTGGTGTGTTTCGTATTTGTAAGGCGTAAAACAAGTAGTATTTGTGGTCTGTGACTTTGCCAACTTTGACCTTCAACACTATTTATGTTTAAGCTTAATTTATGCATTGCATACAGTATGTACATGTCTTATCCTTACATGGAAATGTTGAACATGTATATATCTGTGCAACTTCCTCTTTCTTATTAACTGCTTCATTGACTGCACCTGTGCTTCATGTGTTTACTGTAAGTGCCTTAAAATAACTAATATGCAACCACTGAAGCGTGAGCAACTGAAACATTCGTTGCCTATTTTAACTTTTTTTGTTACACCTAAGCATTTTCTCACAGTGCAGTTTTTTTGTTTATGCTACATGATTGTTGTTCGAAGATTTCAGCCCACTGTTTTGTGTTTCACTTCTGCAAATGTTCTCCTTCCTCTGCAGAAAACAAGGCAGATTATTTTGTTAGTACAGTATCTCCTGTGCTATAAGTGCTGAATGACAGTAAAATGTAGTCACCATGAATTCAATCTCCAGGAAAACTTTCTCCCCTCCCCATTTTCATTTTCTGTGTAATACTTCTCCCTTTCTCTTCTCCATTTTAACTTGTGACCGGGCAGGCATAATGAAAGTGTTTAATATACCACTCTGGAACTTGAAGAGAAACTGAAGAGTAACACAAACACTTACTGTTGATGTTGCAAACACACTCAATACGTATAATAATTTTTCAATCAATTGGTTGGACTGTGGTGCTTACTTTGGGATCTCGAAGGAAAAGGGCCTTTTGCAGCAGAGAGTTAATGTCTCCTAATGGAGGGTAGTGCATTAGAAGGCCCAGGCAGGTCTGGAAGTTACTAGCAATGACTGAAACAGACAGAACAAACAAATTCAGTATTAGAGATGCTGTGCACTGATTAGGAATCTAACCTCAGAATCCATCCAAATATAGTATGTCACATTTGCACTGTGTAAAACTGTGACAAAATTTCAGAATTAGCCATCTTACCCGAGTTTGTTTAAAAAAAATTATCTGAAAGCACTCTGTGTTTTGCTTAAACACATTAAATGGACACATGTTGTTTAGGATTAAACCAGAGACCTTCCCATTATGGGACAGTCCTCCCACTCAAACACTAAGCTGCCTAATCAACTTATGTATTAGAGAATGCTCTCTGACTTCCTAAAACATGATTGCATGTGCTTTTACAAATAGTTTCAAATGGGAAAAAATAAATCACACTCCCCTGCCACATCATGAAACTTTGCAGACAATGAGCTATTGGTACACACAGCTGCATCACACTTCATCTAGCAAACGATCAAGTGTTCCCATCAATTCTTGCATTTATTCTACCTGCATGCCTTCAGAGTACCTTTCAGAAAGGCACCTCTCTAAAAAACAGCTTCCTCTTTGTTCCATGGACACTTGGCTGCAATAGTACTACAGAGCTACTGATCAACAATATATTTGTATTTTGTGTTCAGTGTTTGCAATTTAAACCTTTGTATTCAAGTTTTCCCACCAATGGACATGAAAATGAAAAGTGCAGACTGACTGAAAAGTCTTCTGAAATGCTGTATTTGTGTGCATTTGGTTCCCTGGCATCTGTCCTATAGCAGCAGGGATTCTTACTGAAAGACACTTGAGCAGGAACAATGTTTGCCATCATTAGAGCTTAAACCCCCATCCTGCCTGTATGTATGGCAGCAAATATCTACTGTATTCTATTTAAAGCAATATGACTCCATCTAATTAAATGAGGTGGAGTAAATCACATTCTTCCAGTTAAGTGTTTCTCATGAAATTACATGCTACAAAGACAACACATGGCATTACTGGATTATTTCAGTAATAAATGGAGCGTACGAGCGTCTCGGATGTAGAGCAGCATGGCCACAAAGATGTAGTCCACCAGGTCCAAAGTGATGCTGTCTGCAAACAGGGCGTCCCACACCACCAGCAGATCCTGGAGCGGAAACTCACGGCCGAACAGCAGACGTACCCACCGGCTGCAAGACAGACAGAAAGACACGGTAACTGTATATACGAACAGCTGAGGGTGAAGAAATTAATTAGACACACTGAACTGAAGGTGTAAATACTGACATGCCGTAGATTTGCGGGGCGATCTCCAGCCGGTTGAGGTGCATGTGCAGTTCAACGTCATGCTTCTTCACCAGCTGGTCCTGGATCCGGTTGACTTTGGTCACTATGGCAACGGATGGCCCCGAGTCCTGGGGCCGAGCGAACGGGATGCTGGTCAGCATCTCTTCCTTACCCTGGAGCAGTAGATCATTACATAATTAGCATAATATTCTATAAACATGAATTAGAGTCTCTGTAAACCAAGTACCACTTTTGATACCATTTATGTTCAGATATGTTCAGAAATAGCCATTCAGTGTAGATTCTGTAATTAACTCACTGTCTAGTGGTTTGTTGGTGGCGGAGTCTGCCATCGCCATGCTGGATTAAAATTTCCTATCTAAGCATTAGGGATTCACAGGAAATGTATTTATTAATTTATTTTTTCTTTCCTACAGCCAAATCAAAGTTGTGTTAAGTTACTGCCAATGTCAACCCAAAATGTCCTACTGCTGCTAGTTCAAATTAAAAGAATCCAACTGGAAGAGCATGAGATGGCTTTTTTGTGAAGAAGTCACAGAAAACAAGCAATTTCACAATGCAAAACAACCCAGTGGTCATTTTGGACAAGTTTGTGTTTGTTTGGCTGCACTGTTGTACACTTTTGTTGTATTTCTGACAAAGTAGTAGGAGTGTTGGCTGTAGTATGACAGCTCACTTGCCGTTACCCTGGTAACCACGGGTGTCATCAAATCCACCAGTATTGAAATCTTAAGGATTAAATCAATTATTGTAATTACAATGTCAAAAGCAGTTCTTCAGATCAAACTGACCTTCCTCACTTCCCTCTCAAAGCTGGAGAACCATGGCTCTGCTGTCTCCATCAGCTGCGAGAACATGGCACTAAAGATAGAAGTGTGAGTTTGAGATAAATATTGAGAAACAAAGAGGGGACATATTGTGAGATGGAAACAGACTCTATATAAACCAATTCGTAAACCAATTCTATTTATTTGAAAAGTAATTATATTTCTGGCATCATTCATCTGATATTAGGAGTGTACTCACTAGGCGTCGTGCTCAAGGTACACTGGGTTCAACAGACACTTCATCTCCTCACTGTGGATAGAGAGAGGCTTAAAAGTGACCTTTGTCCAAGTAAATGAAGAAACTTTTTGTCTTCTGACTATAGTACAAGCAGGTCTATAGCTTTTCATGGCAACTAAAGGGTGAAAGATTCAGTTTCACAGTTTTCAATGAGGAACTGACCTGGGGCTGGCAGTCTCGCTGGCATGCTGAAAGGCTTGATGGTCACAGTGCAGCACAAACACTATGGGGGCCAGCAACTCGTGCATCCCCTACAGACAGAAGAAGAAAAGACAGAAGTAGGGAGAGTGTAAGACGTTAAGAGGGCAGGGGAGAGAGAAATTATGGTTCATTTGTAGTCAGTCTTTCTTTAATAGTGATGCACGAGGTTTCTAATCGGTGATGACAGGTTTAATTTAGATATTGTTAGCCACTGCCCGGCCATGTGTCACTTCCAGTTTGTGAAAAAGATGCTGCACTGGCCGTCTATTCATCCGCTGGCACCTGTTACAGACACTGATAATGATTAGGTTACAAAGGCGTTCTGTTCTTTTGTCAGAGCTCACTGGGTGCTGAGAAGCCCACACACACACACACACACACACACACACACACACACACACACACCACACACACACACACAACACAACAACACACACACACACACACACACCACACACACACACACACACACACACACACACACACACACACACACACAAACGCCTTGATTATCAACATTATTATTATTATTATTATCTTCCTGGCTCAGGAAGATAACCCAAACAGAGACATTCAAGACCAATTTTCAAGGAACTTTAAGAAAAAGCAAAGATTTCTAACTTCTGCTTTTAAGCAGAATGAGCTGTTGACAAGGTGTCAATCGTACCTGTTTATACAATAACTGCTCATTTTCTCTGGCATAACAAAAGAGAATGTCCGTCAGCTTGGTCCTCACATCGTCATCCTGGAAGTAACGGATTTCAGGGAACCTTAAGCAAATAGAAAGAAAGAAAGAAAGTAGAGGGTTTACTTCATGCAGACTTTCAGGCATAAAGGTGTAAAAAACAAAGAAATAAACAGAATGATAGTGATACTAACGTTCTTAACACGTCCTGTTTGATCATCCCCTTCAGCTCCTTATCTTGGAAGAACTTGTTCCACAGGCTCTGGACAGGAGAGGAAATAATAAAACAAAGGCATATAAACATTACTCTTGGGAGACTGATGGGTTAGAGGGGTCACTGTGACAATACAATAATTAGAAATAGTGACCACTCCATGATTGACTGGAAAACTGAATGAATTTTAAAAACTTTTCAAAGCAGTAACTTACCCAACTTCATTTGACAATTCTGTCCTTGATTGATAAATTACATGATATGCTAATTACAAAAGTGACCAGCCACTTTGGTGTAATTCAGCAGCCTTTTGTGTATCGAAAATATCTCGGTAACCCTTAATTTTACAACAATTTCCTTGGAAGTTTCCTCGAAATAACTATGTTTCTTTTTTCCCCTATAATTAGTAGTTACTTAAAACAGCACTGCTCCATTTAAACCCAAGTAAATACTCATTCATTATTAGACACTTTATTCTTCATAGACATTGAACTGTAACCTTTTCTGCAGACAGATTTTTACATTTTTCATGTTCAGCTAACCTGCTGTGCACTGACTAAAAGACTTACACTAGCAATTAATTTGAATTAATTAACCGGAGGTGATCACATTGAGCACTGTCTCTATTTTCTCTATAATTACTACCAAACTACAAAAGTCCTTTCCAGGAAACAACAAGGGAACAGCTTTTGATACATCTCTGTTAAGAGTGTGGCTTTCTGAGTGCATGTCATCACACAATCAGAAAGCAAATATCTTTAAACATTTTATTGCCCAACACCAATTTAATGGATTTATAATTACTTAAAGAACCTGCTGATGAATCAACAGCAACTGACTAACAGAGAGTAGGACACTATACATAGCGACAGTCTCACACACACACACACACACACACACACACACTCACCCCTTCATCCTGGGACAGCGGGTTGTTAACCACCAGGTCCTGCTGGCCTTTAGCCTTGCGTGGGTTAGTGATGTGCTGTGACAAAAAAACAAACAAACACATCGATGTCAATAACAGATCAGTTCATTCCTAAAAAAGGTGCACTGCTAGAAATGCATAACCATTGTGACTTTGACCGTGTGTTTAACATTTAGCAGGATATACTGGTTATAAGTTCCATTTTGTTTTAAGTGTCAGTGGTAGTTCAAACAATCATTAATAATTAATACATTCTGACCTACCATATCAAGAAAAATGATTGAGGAGATTATTTATTAAGTCATAATGCTCCACAAACTGCTGCAGAAACACAAAAATCTTCTGCAACTCTGAGTGACCATTTTCTCATCATGCCAAGGGAAGCGGCCACATGGCGGCGCTCTCACCGTCTCTTTGATCTTCTCATACTGGCCCCGGAGCTCCTTGGTCTTGTTGATCCACTGACCCTTGTCTTCTGGAAGAGCCTCCAGGTACAACTGCAGACAGCCAGTGAACAGGTTAGTGCTTGCTGCCTCAACAAGAATTTACATAAACAGGCAGAAAATTGACACTTTCAAACTCCAGACTGCTGTTTCCACCAAAGAAGGTCTGCAAGCTGCCAGAACTGCAGTCTTTTTTGTGGCAGGGAAATTGCCAAAGCCACTTTAAACAATCCATTTGGCACTCACCTTCCAGCACACACTCCGAAAGCGGCTGCTCCTCAGTCGACCGTTGATGCCTGCCTGCCGGATCCTGGCCAGGTAATTACTGTTGAGGAACAAGTCGTCCCATTCTTTCCTGTGCAGGAGGAGGGGAGGCAGAGGACGAGGAGATTTATGAGCTTCTCAACCTGAATTGGGCACGGTATTCCATCTAATGTGTCATCCAGCAGTAAACCAGGAGGCTGGAGTGGTGAGTTGGGCCAAGAGTTTATGGCACACCCACACAAGAAAAAAAACTCACCTGTATGAGAGGAACGTTGACTGAGGCTGTGAGTAAGTGCTGCTGTCAAGAGATCCTCCTGTTAAAACAGACACAGACAACCACAAGGGGGAGATCTAAACAACCAGTGCTAAGCAGTGAAACTAGAAATCAATCATTTTTAAAGCTTCTGAACACAGGATCATAAACAAAAACATAACCTTTGACGACTACCATAATAAGGAACTGGCCTATTTAGTGCTTCCAAATGACCCATCAGTTATTTTTGGGGCTTCTTTTTCAAGCCGTGTAATGGAGCAAAAAGAGCCAGAAGCAGGAAAAGTGACGACAGAGAGTAAAGCATCATACTCCTCCTCGCCTTTATTGGTGGTAATACGTCTAATTTGGCCTGCAGGTGAACATGCATTCAAGTCGGAGAGCTGTCTATCAACATTAGTTACAGGAGTAGATCATTCCACTGGGACATTCAGCATGAATATTCATCAGTTCCACAACATGCCAGCCCCCGACATTTTCTCTCTCTCACCCACGTAAACATAAAAAACACAAAAACACCCTCAGCCCGGGGGTGTAGCCAGCCACGTCTGTGACTCACCGAATTTCATTTTTATTATCTCTATCTATCTAGAACTTCAAGTTATTATGACTCTGTCTTCTGCTCGTTTACTGGTCAGAGCCATCACTCCTCTGAGTGTAAGTGTAGGTTTAATACCTGAATATAAATCTGTGGAAGGGGCTACTGACAGGCGTACCAGTAAAAATACCTAGAGTCTGGTTCTATAAAATGTAAACAAAAATGCATCAAGGACCAAATTAAGAACAGTCCCAACACAACACAACAGAAACGCCGTTATATTTTGGCATTTAATGTCTCCACCACAGTTTGTTCATGAGTTTTTAAATCCTAGTGGTGAGAGTTAGACATACTGCTGCGGTTCTTGTTGAAATTATTAAGCGGGTCGAAGCCCGTCTCCTGCTGCTCGTCTGTCTGGAGCGGGTGGCGGGTCTCGAAATTGGGGTGCTGCATGGCCGCGACCCAGCCTGACCTGGACAAAGTAAGGGAGGAGTTGAGAGAGAAACCGGAAAAAAAAGGGAAGAAAGTCAAATTTAAATCACAGCTTAGCGCAACATACCAGCTAGGAGATTAGCTAGAGATGACCAAAACTACAAACCAAAAGTTGGGTAGCTTACATCATGTTATGCATGACCTTCAAACTCAGAAAACAATCCAAAAACTCTAAATGATAAAGAACAATAGCCCCCCCTTGAAACTAACAAACATCTACTGATAGGGAGAGCGACCTTCGATCAGAGCTTGTGCTGACAGGCATCTGCTCTGCCTCTTGAGCAGGAGTGACCCTGACCTCTCACCTCTTTATGCAGATTTGCATGCAAAATCTATCTTCTGCAATCACAGACAGTCCCTTTGCTACAAACATTAAACACACTAGAGTGCTTTTATCTCAGGACTTACTGGCACAGTCTTGTGATCCTCCTCAGCCAAGACTCAGAAGAAAAAGATTACTCTGCAAGAAGAAGAAGGAACAATAAAGAAACTGAACACCTTCGGCACACAGGGAAATAAACAACAAAAATACAGAAAATAGGCAGCAGAAAAAGAAAAATAATAAAACTAATGTCATGTACTAAATACCCACTGCTATTATGTGACTTGATGCCTTTAAACACAATACAGCTCTACATCTCATTCACCATGTATACCACTATGTTATGAAAATCGAACAGGGATACATAATGTAGACTTGACATATTCGTAAATAGCTATCACTGAATATAGCTGGTAACTTTGTGGTTCTTTGCTTTGTGATGATCATAAACACAAGTTGCTCTTTATTCACCTTGTGCGTTTAACACAACTTTTGTTGCATAAAATAAAACAGTGACACTGATTACCGTCAGTGAAGAATGGCTTAAATTAACAAGAAGCACTTGAGCTGCCTGATGGCCCGCCATGCTCACTGTGATATATTAAACATAAGAAGTAATGCTAATGAGGTCATTAAGTAGGCAAATGAATGCATTAATTAAATATTTTGATGTCAACAGACGGCCTTCACATAACACGCAGACAGTATTAACTGTGTCTCTGAAGTTATTAAGGAATTATTACAGTTTCAAGAATATTTGTTGTTCATAAAATGAAAACGTGTGCAGCCAGCACAGAGCTTCAAAATGTAATAAAATCATCTTCTGCAGGGGGAAGCTGTGATGTGTTATATTGGTTGTATATATATATAGGTCTCGAAGAATATGTGTTGACACAGAGATAGTGTCAATGCTATGCTGTGTCTATACTACTACTACTATAAACTCAATTGACTGAAATCTGACAAATCTACTTTTACAAGACAGAATGAACAAACGGGTGAACATGGGTAAAAGATATTACAAAAACATTATTAATATTTATTAGAACTGCAATGACCAGTCCATTAGTCCCTCATTTGATCAAAACAAGAACGTATCGGCAAACATATTGCAAACTGTTTGTCACTGTCATTTTTCACGCACAAATGCCAGGATTTGAGGCTTTTCTTTGTCTGTGTATTGTGAGAGTATGTGACAATTTATAATGATTTTAGCTCGCAATTGTCCAGTTGAGCAGCAGACAAAAAAAAAATCTATATTGTAATCAATGTTGATAGTTTGAAGATCTTTTAGTTATTAGTGAAAAAATGGTGCGCCAACTACAAATAAAAATAAATTACAAAGTAACTCAAACCAAAAAAAAAATAAAAAATACGACAAAGAAATGACCAAAAAAACATCCTCACCAGGTAAACCCTGAGCCAACGCTTCTCTGCCAACCATCACAGTTGTGAGAAAAGTTTCACTTTCTCTGAGAGACAACACAATCTAGGTTAAACAATTCTGCCTCCATTCTTTATCCGGCTTGGGATTTATGAATATGGTTAGCCTAATACACAGGCCTACAGAATAGCACGCTTCCACAGAGCATTATGTTTTCTTTCGCTTTATTAATTGTGGAAATAACACAACAAAGGCATCTCTTAAACCCATTAACCATGTGAATGGAACACCGCTCGATAAATCAGCTCCACACGCCATCAAAATAGAAATAATTTTATATGCATAATGTATGTGCCTGTTTTCTTAGGAAACATCTGTTCTCCTCAAAGACTAATGCTCTCCTTAAGTCTGAGGGGTTTTTCTCCCTTCCCTCATAAAAAGGGCATTATCCCATTGAATAATCGTAACTAATCCACAACTACAGAAAAAGACAGGAGTGTCGTGAAAAGGTATCTCCAATAATAGCCTGTATTACTTTAAAAGATTGGCATGGAAGATGTATCAAACTGTCCTGAGCAACTACAAATATAACAGCAGTCACTTTGCACAAAATATTATTTCATATCATCACGGTCTCACGAAAACTCGCATTGTACAATGTGTCAAAAGATATTTTGAGGAACATTTTTCCCTACAGACCTGCAAACCCATCCAGCGCTTTGTCCCTTCTTTCCAAAAATAAAAAGTCATTCTAAACTCTCCACAGAGGCCTTTACAGATGTCTCATTGTGACTTGTGCTTTGAGGAGGCATGTCTTGTGTGTGTAAGCCCTTTTTGAGTGAATGAAAGATGATACAGGTAAAAGACTCGAGGCCTCGCTGTGTTAGCACAATCTTGCCTGAAGCGAGTCTCCTCTTAGCCTTCTGCTGCCTTCATTACTTCTTCCCAGAGTTGAACGTAAAACAACATTCCAACTTTAACACATAACAATCAAGGCAAATTAGCTTCTGCATAATTCAATCCACAGCACCTGGAGACACCTCAATAATTCAAAACACGAATCTTTCATGAAATAATCAAATCAATACATAATGAAATGCATAAATAAATCAACAGACAAATAACAGTGCGTCCATCTGTTCTGAGGTAGAAGATCTGTTCCTGGGACTTACAACAACAGGCTGTGAAGGTAAATCCAAATTGCAGCCATTACATTGTCTTCTTACATATGTTAAGTTCTTGAAACCATTTTTTATTTAAAGTTTTCACCCCAAGCAGGATTTCAAAAGAAGAAATGCAGATGTTTTGGACTTTGTGTAAAGCACACTGGAAGCATACCAAGGACAAGTCAGACAGCCTCGCTGTGAACCTCTTCCTGTAATAATCCTCATTGTGTGCACCAAAACCAACATTTCACTTCCCTGTTCCCTTTACTTTACCGCACACTCAATCTGAAAGGGGCCGTAATAATCACTGCATTTGAGCCTAAAACTTTCCTTTTCTTTGTTTTCCCTCTTGATCAAAGCCAGGCACGCAGCTTCACATTCTTTAGGGTCATGAGAATATCTCATAGCCACAGATCAGCTGAACAGAAAGGGGGGGCGAGGGGTTCGCCACAATACAGCAGCCAAGTTGACACATTCAAATTCACGTCAGCTCTTCTTCAAATCGCAGAGGCAGGTTTTGTTCACGGATTGGCCGGACAACCACATGTTAAAAGATCCCACGCTCGAGTTGAGCTGACATGAAAAAACACAAAGAAAAGCTTCAGCCGGCCGCAAGCTCATTGGCCTAAAGTCTCAAAGGCTAAACTATTCTGAAACTAAACCCGGATTAAATTGTATTAAATGTTTTGCTGAAGTGCCTGCAGAATTTCCTTTAGAGACATCTGACTGAATAACTGAAGCTCTTCTGAACTGAACAGTCTGCAGCATTGTTTTCAGCTCTGGAAAACTGATACATTAGTCATTTGCTGAACCAGTCCACTAGTACTTTATTTCAGCTGGTTGTCAGAGCAAACTCGTGTCAAATATATTCAGAAAAAGAATCAGTACAGGGGGCTCTTTAGAGGATGAATATTCAAAAAGGATTCTGGAAATGGCAATGAGAGGAGCTGTCACTGGCAGCTATAGTCGGAGCGGCAGATGTTTAGTCAAAGTGAAACACTCCAGCTAAACAAACTCACATGCCTCTACTTCAGCACGCAGCAAGAGCCCAGGAGCCTTCACAGTCACATGCTCTGCAAGAGGCTGAGAACATGCTTGGGAACTTAACCTTGGCAAAATACCGTGAATTTTCTGGGTCTTGACTGATTCAATTGCCACATACATGACGAGAGATTAAATCTGTCAGATATCCGTCTGTATGCAAGAAGTGGAGCAGCGGTTCTAGACCCCACCAGGAGTCACAAGATAAAACTAAAGGGGTTGTTGTGAGATGATCAACAGGATAGGAAAGCTGAAAAAAAATGTTTTTTTATTTCTTTCAGAACTTAATAACTTTTTTTTCTTGAGAATTACTGGAGGATCTTTACCTCTTTTGGGCCTCTAAAAAGTACAAAACAAAAATAGTATAACTGCTTACATTGCTTTATTAACCCACAAGCCAAACATATTGCAAACCACAGCACCTACAGTGAAAGATGAACAAGACAGAGATTTAAATAACATTCAGGAACAGACTGTGCAGTTCAGCAAGTATCACGCATTTCCCCTCCACTGACCTACAACCTATTTCCTCTCAATATTCTTGTCAATGCAGACGTGCAGTAAAGACCAACTATTGTCTCCAAGCACAATAAACAGGTTAGTGTCTGCCTTTCTAGAGTTAAAAGGGTATAACACCACAGCTCTTGATATTTGTCCCTAGGCTTTTTTTTTTTCCTCTAATCCACAATAGCCCGCAGACTGTACTCTCCCTGCACACATTTTTGCACTGACCTGGTTATTGGAAGTGTGGAGAGGTGTGTGAAACCGCATTAAACCGTGCAGACAGACAGGCAGGCAGGCGGTGCTAGCTGTTACCAGACCTCTGCACTGCCCACCACTGAATCTGTCAGGCAAAGGTGGGCCAGCCCGGGTGAATAGGTTGAAGGCTTGCAAACTTGTCATAAAGAGGAACCGTTTTTCTACAGTTTCTGACACCATAATTCATAGCCAGCACTATTTATGTGGGTATAATGTGAGGTTACATGAACCTAGTGTCCGTCTTGAATGCACCACGGGTGATGACAGCCAACGGGATTATCGATGCAGAGCAAATCGCCAAACAACAGCTAAGCTAGCGTGTGTCCCGTGTCGACTAACAATGCTAAATGAAGGCTAAACGTCCTGAATACACGTACAGTGGCACGCTGTGGTAGTCAGCGAGGTGCTGGATGTAACATTAACTACAGCTGACAGGAAGCAGGTGAGCTAATGTGACGTTAGCCTGGCTGTTAGCAAGTTGCAACCGAGCCGATGCACGGGCCTGTCCTCACTTCCGACACTGCTGCTGCAAGCCACGAAACTAACACACACACACACGGGCTAGTATAAGTGCGAGTAGTGCCACAAAGTCATTCATAACCCACTGTGGGCTCTCAGGTACCTGTTCAGATCACGCAGGACTCCTCATTCTGCTGTGTCCGACTGTCTGCTGATTTGTAAACAGTAGCGGGTCAGGCGGATGTGCTGAAGACCAGCTGACTGATCATGTGACCATGTGGAGCTGGTCATGTATGAAAGGTGGAATACTTAAAGTCAGTGTAAAGCAATGATAAGTATGATGATATGATGAGTTTCTCACACCAACGAAAAAAATGTGTTATTAACCACCCTGCCAAATTTGAATGATTAAAAAAAAAATAGCCAAGTATATGAAATTAAGTTATAAAAATGTTAGCATTATTTATTGAAATCCTGACACTAAGCTGAACTGCCGGCTTTAATTTGTATGAAAAAGCAGCTGAAGGAGTATTAATTATGGCTTGGTGTAATTTCACACATTATTTCACAGTGTTTGTGTAGGAACCTTTTTAATACACAAATCTAACATCCAATTTTCTTCAGTGGATTTGTAAACAAAAAATATACTTGGATTTCACCCTTTTTTCCCCTTTTTTATGAATAAATTAATATCAAATAGCAAAATAGAAAATGCTTAATTCAGTAATAAAGTAAGTAAGTAAGTAGTAAATAAATGACAATCTGTTTGTGATATTCCCACATCAGTGCCCTGGAAATAAATACCTGTGGTAGGAGGCCTTTCCCATGCTGCATGAAATTCCATCCCTCCCTGGTTGAGGTATGTGCTACCTTTTAACACTGTCACTTTGTCTGTGTAAACATCACATTAAGTCTGTAAATATATTCCAGACTGATGTACTGTGTGCTGCCTGCCACGTGTGTGTCCTCTATCCCATAGGCCTACCATATAGCCTACCACAGCATGTTGCATACTAATTACCTGTTTCTAATGGCTGATATTGATAAGATAACTGATCATTTCGAAGTTTGTGTTGTGGTGAGCAAAGATGGATGATTTAATATCCTATAGCTCTGTTCTCACCAAATCTAACTGACATTATGTCAGTTAGATATTATTATATATTAGATATTATTATTATAAAAAACTGTTTCTCTTCAAATGTCAAAAAACTTAACAAATAAACTTTGGCTTAATAGAACATATCATATTAAACATTTTGCATAAGAATTCAAAATAAATTATTATTATTCAACTGATAATTTATCAGCTATAAATTATTTAGCAGAATAATTAATAATATTATAAATTTGCCATTATCAGCCAATAATTTATTGGCCCCAATAATTATTATGCATCCCTAGAAAATTTCTTTGAAACCGTGGAATATTTTAAGTATTAAGTAGGCCTATGAAAAGTATGAATGAGTTTGAATGAAGTTTCAATGGTAAAAAATGTGGTAGGAGTTTAGAAGTCAAGTCAGCACATGTTTGTGTTGGGAGAAAAGGCAGCTTTTGTGAAATGAAACTGTACTTAAATTCAAAGTAGGCCATTTTTATAAAGGGGTTAATAAATTAATTGGTTTATGGTGCAAATGGTGTAAATCACGCACTAATGCTTTTTAGGTCATATATTAATTAGAGAAACTTTTAGGTTACCAGGTTGTGGAAACTGGTATATCTTCCTCCAATAGGAGACTTAAAATGTTTATCAGTCAATAATGAAGTTTTTTTTTAAAAGTAACCCAAGTCTGCAGTTATATATTAATAAATAAATAAAAACATATTCAAACCATATATAAAGCATAAAGCCACAGTAAATAACGTATTAACCTTTATTGAAGTGATTAGTTACAATTTATAAACCCTTTAAACAGGGTGACTTTTTAGAAACTTACTTCTGGGCAAATATTTATATTTAACATACAGCATTTGAAGCTGTGCATACTTCTAATAATTGCTTGGCTTATTCATAGCTCCACGCTTGGACTTTGTAGAAAGAGACTCATAGACCACCAACAGCACTCAGATCAGTTTCCAGGTTGTAGGCTTTGAGCATGATGCACTGTGCTTACCACAGCCATACACTCGTCTTTTGCACTGTCCCTTTCTAGTTACATGTCAGGGACTGACGGACAGGTTTGGAAAATAATTCTTGAGATTATTTAGATGATTAGATGTCCAACTACTTTAAAATGCTGAGATCAAATCACACAGGAAATTGCTAAAATTCAATTACAATTTTATCAGTGCACAATCTTTGGCTTTTTAGGGTCATTGTTTGCATCTGAAAGCAAGATATATGGGTGGTGAGATTGTGAAGAAAGAAAAAAGAAAGATAAAAAGAAAGAATGAAAGAACAAAAGAAAAAAGTACTGTATTGGTAGAGTACTAGTTTGTGGTTGATCACACCACCAAGGAGAAATAAAACACATCCTGAATAAGCAAGAACACTGAAGGGGCTCTACAACATGAGGGATAATTAAGACAGTTTTATGGAGACTTAATTGCAGCAATTTCTGAGGTCAGACAAGTCAAGTTTATCTGTAGAGTGCTTTTATCAAACACCTTCATCCCAAAGTGCTTCCCACAGACCAAACAGAAGACAGAAAAACAAGCTAAACCAACATAGCAGGACAGTCATAATAAGAAAAGGCAGGTGTCCATGTTAATATACAATTGGTGACATTAAATAGCATTAATGCGTGTGTGTGTGTGTGTGTGGGTGGGTGTTTGTGTGTGGTGGGGGTTAACACAAAGCAGTCATAATGACCATCATGGCCATTACCATCATCATCATCACAGGCTTGGCATTTCAAGAGCACCATTATCATCATTATTATAGCTAATATTACTGATGATGAGGCTTTCATGGCCTTTTGTTGGCCCTGACTAAGGTATCGCCATGGAAACAGATGACAGAAAAGAGCATAGCTTTATTGAATTACTCTATAAAGCTATTCTGACCAAATGGGGCTTGAATGTTGCACCGCGAAAAAGTCCCGGGAAGACACAGATGAGAGTCGGGGGCGGAGAGGGAGACAGAATAGAAATAGCAGCTGAGACAGATAAAAATAAAAGAAGAATAGAAAAAACACAGAAGATAGAAAACACTGGCAGCACTGAGGGGCATGTGATTGTGCAGAGACACCGATCGGCTGGTACACACAGCACAGAAGAATATTGTCTGATGGCTGGAAACAATGACAGCAATTCACCAACATCGACATAGTCACAAGAAGAAATCATCAGTACTAACTCTATAACAGCGGTACAGACAATGGACATCAGAACCATTGATTAAATCTTTAATGGGTCTTTTACAGCAGGCCTCTGCTTGTCTTAAAATAGCAGTCTGATAAATGTGCTTCATCTCTTTTTTACTTGTTTCCAAGAGTCTTTCTAGCTCATATCTCATAGATTGTCCCCAAATCCAATTTTATATATTGTTAAAACATTCCAACTAAATACTTTTCAAAGTGCAAATGTAATGATATTATGCTACTTAGGAAGAAAACAACTATATGTTTATTTGTCAGAAAGCAGAAATAGCATGATGCCCCCCCAGCTATGTCAGCCTCTGTGTGTTCCCATAGACTTAATCACATGAGGTTTTAAATCTGAGTTTCCTGGTGAGAAACATCATATTTCACTGTTTGTCTCCATTTTCTATTTAAATATCAATGTATACAATGAAAGGGATCTGTAAAAATATTCGCCAAACAAAAGCATCAACATTTAAGTTAGATTAACTGAAATTCTAGATAGATAGAGTTGAAAGTTATATTTCTAGGCTTCTGGTTTTTATTAATCTCACTCAGATTGGTTATGAGAAAAACAGAAGATCAGAGACTCACAACAGATTGAAGTAATGCACATACAGTACAACTATAAATGAGCCTACATTTCTTTTACAAATGAAAGTGCCATCTTTTAATGTTAACATTTAATATACACACTGCACCTCTTCAGTGTCATATTTCTAGTCTGCCATCTTTAGAAACATTAAACATTGTGCACTCCATACAGGCTCCATGTAAACATACTGTAAAATGAGTGTCTGAGTGAACTTTCACGTTATAATGCTTCATCATTGTTGTGTCTGTCTCTGCTACAGTATGTACAATGATAAAACAGTACAATATGACAACCACAAGATGTCTAAACATGACACTCAACGTAACATAGCTATTTTGGGAGATTTATAGATTCATGCATCAAATACTATATGTAAACTCTGATTTAGATCTCAACAAAACATGGTCAATAAAGGTGAGAAATAGGAACAGAAATTGACTCTTTAAATATATCTCATATTGATCAGATTGGTTGATCCATTGTTTTATCTATTGATTTATGAAGCACTGTAGTAAAAAATGCAGACAGTACCCTGTCATTTATGAAAGGGTTAATTCCAAATGCTTTGTATTATTCACTAATTCAGCATATTCATTATATTATTTAAAACAGCATCAGGAAACTTGATATTTAATACATTGTGAAAGACAAACTTGAACAAGAAAAGCGTAAGATAAAACAGAAGAAACTTATTAAAGATTGATGCAAAACACAGTAAAAACAAAAACAATGGAGATATTGATCTTTAAAAAAAAAACTGTTTGGCAGTGCCACTTTCCACAAGGCATTTCTGGCGTGAACATTTCTTGAACTTTTGATAAAACAACCAACTACAATTACACTTTTTTTTATCAGTGATATGTAATCTGAGGCTCTTTGTATTGGGGTCCCATTCATCCAGACATATACACTAACACAGAAACAATGTGTTATAACATTATCTTCACATATAGCCACTGTTATTCTCAGAGTAGGGATCCTCAAATCACAGCACAGCTTTCTAAGTATGATGTAGGTGTGTCTGGTTTTGAACACCAGCGTCCTTATAAGATGTGGTATAAACATGTACAGTAAGTCAGCTTTTAGTCTTTTCACAGCATTTAAGGACACACACCCATGTATTTGGGTTAGATGTTCTCATGCTCATGCTCCTCCTTCATAAGGAGAATGGTTTGAGTGCCAGCATCAGATTCTTTCAAAACAGTTATCTTACATGCTTCATTTCCTGTTTGCTTCTCCTCATGTTCTTCTGTTTCAGTCTTTCCATCACCATCCTCCTCCTGTTCCTCCACAGTTATGTCTGTCTGGGAGAGGTTTGCCTCTGTGCAGCCATGCTGCTTGTCTCGGCTGTGTTTTGGGCTCTGGCTGTTGTGCTGATGCTGGTTGTGGTCCTGGCTGTTGAAGAATCTTCGGATGGTGTGTTTGGGCAGGCCCAGCTGAGCCGACAGGGTGTGGACCGCTTCCTCGTCTGGGTTGAGGCCCACATCCCGAATGAAGCTCTGCAGGATTCCCAGTGCTTCATGGGACACTCTTAACTCCTCGCTTTGGACCCCAACTCCACCTTGGACCTCGTTATCTGCCTCTAAAGAAACCCCAGCCCTACCTCGGTCCTCATCCCTCACGCCGGGCCAGTTGATAGCAAGCTTCTCCTTAACCCTGCCGTCTTTGCTGTCTCCAATGACCTCATCAATCCCTTCCTCACCCACATTTCCATCCCTCACCTGCTCCTTGCTCTCTGTATCCTTGTCCCTCACCCTACCACCACACCCCCAGTCCCCTCCCAAACTGCTCTTCTCTCCCCGTCCCCCCTCAACCCAGTCTTTACTGTCCCCTCTCTCACCATTACTGATGCCCCTGCCCAGCAGACGTACTCTCATGTGCCCCCAGTTACCCCCAGCCTCAGATTCGGCCGGTGATGCAGCACATGGTTGCCGTGGAGACAGGTGAGGCCCTGCCTCAGGCTGCAGGGGTTGATGGGGTTGAAGATGGTGTTGCTGTGGCAGCGGAGAGTTGCGTTGGTACTGACAAGAGAAAAAGAGAAATTAGAAGCAATTATGGTAAAAATACGCACTTAGTCTTTTGGATTTTATATTTTTAACGCCAACTTGTTTCCATTGTGTTAATGTGGATTTTTAATGGTTTTAAATGGATTTTAATGGTAGATGATGTGAAATCAGCCAGACAGAAATATATTTGTATGATTTGAAGTGATAAGTGTTACTAATAAGGAACAATTTCCGCTTCTTTGTTTGCATATTTTATTGCAGATTCTATTTAAAAATACTATTTAAGTACTGGCTATATGATAATTTACTTCACTGCTTAATGAAATATGCTCATTACATTCATTTTAGACGTCTAGAGAGAACTGGCATCAAATTTTCCATCTCCAAATTACAAACACTGAATCAATGAGATTAGAATGGCTCTCATTTAACAACAGACTCTGAACCCGCTTTGCTTTCTGTATTTGTTGGTTATGTTTTTACTTCTCAATTGTTTCTCATGGGAGCTCTAAATAATCTGAATGCAGAAATTAGCAGCAGCTTCGTCCTTCATTTGACCTCAGTTGTGTGAACTGGATCTGCTGAGGTTTCACACGTGAGGTGGCCTGCAATTCAACCATCAAAGTACATGTGAAGTCTTCTCGGCTTACTAATAACACAATATATTCCACATAGTTTACTGTACTTTTACAAACTGGGGGATACACAGCCATTTTTTGACATGTTAACTGTGAGTCTGTGCTAAATTCAAGCCATCAACTCATGCACAAGCTATGGAAGTGAAAGAAAAATAACTAATCAGCCTCACGGATCATTGCTTAATGTGGTAATCATCTTTTCTTCTGACATTTTTGGCATTTAGCTGTCATTACAGTGGCGCTTTTCCATTGCACACTCTAGAGATCTATTGGCATTAAATCCAATGTATTTTATTTTAATTAAAAATGTGTAAGATTTATTATAACCTTTTAATATATCACTTAAATATATTAAGTGTTTTTCAAAAATTAAAGCCAGGTCTCCTCAAGCTCTAGTTTTAAGGACCTATCGAGTAAAATGTGTTGTTTACAATGTTTCTATAGCTTGCTGTGTGGAACAGCAGTCTGTGTGTAAAGATATTGTGTTTATCTTGCTGTTGTGGTCTCACCAGTGTATTGTCATTGCTGATCAATGTAAGCCTGTCAGTGCAGTGCTGCTGTGCCGTCGTGTTGCTGCTCTCCTGTTCATAGATGGCATCTCGTTCAGTCTGGGACAGGCTGAGGAACCGGCGGATCATGCACAGATTCTCCCACAGGGTCCGGTTCTCTGGGCTGGGATCCTCCTTCCAACGCAACAGCTCACATAGCCAGCCCTGCAGGAGGAGATAACACATTAAGTCCCCCTGTTTAGCATTTATAAGCAGTATATAAACATTTAATGATGTATTTATAAGCAGATATAAGTGTGTATGCCTAAGAAACATGCAAGGGGCTGACTAGCTAACCTACTGTGAGCACACAAAGATGCTCTGTGATCATTAAATGACCTTTCTTTCACTCAGAGGTCACAATGTCAGCACACATTCATACTTCTGGCGTGTCCTTAAACATGACCCTGACACCCTGCAAGCTCCTGTGGTGAAGATCTGACCTGAGGTGACAACTCGGCAGAGCAAGAGGAAGTAAAGAGAAAAATATCTCTTGTGTGATTAACTATAAAGTTATAACAAAAAGCTGTTGAGCTGCCTAATGTCCTGCCATAATTGCCACGATATAATAAAAACATATTCATTAGGAATGCTAATTACGTCAATCATTCTGTTAATTAGTTCATTAATTAGAAGATATTTCTACATCAACATCCTAATATATCTCAGAGTATCAATATCTTTGGGTCTTTCTGTCTACTTAAGAAAAGGATGCATGTGTCTGCATGCAGTTTTGCTGCTACTTCAATGCGAAGACAAAGCCAGTTAATTACTCTTTCTTCAGCATATTTTAGCAGCATATTAGCAAAATCCAATAATTCGATATATGCTATAGTGTGAACCTCTGTTGTAAGGCTAACATAGTGCTGGGACATTAAAATTGCCATAGCAACACCATGTAAATTTATACAATGGGTTTTGATTCATGTCACCCTGCATACACCCACACTCCTATTTATTTTGTACTAATTAGAATTTAATAACATATAAGTGGCAATGACTACAAAGCTCTATAAAATATAAATTCACAATAATTTACTTTTCACATTCATCCAAAATGGGTTCATGTTGTAAAACTTCTAGTCTATTTATTGTTTGCTCTCAATATACAAAGATAAGAAATAAAGTATCAGGTTTGAAGATCATGTAATGGCAAAGCCAAAAGATGATGGAGAGATTTTCTCATTAGCTAGAATCTTTTTCTGCATCACAAGGGAGGAAACTTGTGAGTGGCAGATTGAGGCGGGCAAAGCGAAGCTAGTTTCAGATCCATGAACTGGAGCATGATTACGTTTGCAAGCAACGCTGGTGCGCACACACAAATTCACACACACACACACACACAAATTCACACACACACACACAAACACACACACACACACATACACCTGCTGTAGCCCAAGTCTAGCACACAATGCCATCCAGATGCACAGTGCAGATAGAACAGAAGAGATCCAGCGTGTTTGCCTGCCAAACAAAGCGGGGTAATACAGAGAGAGAAAGAGAGAGGTAAAGAGAACATAGAGAAAGTAAAGTAAAAAGAGAGGCCAACGAAGAGATAGAAAAAGAACCTCAGGGGTTTTGGACCACCTGTCTGTACTGGCATGACCGCTGAATGACCTCCAAACATCTTTACGATGAGTAGATGAGTAGAGAGAAAGGAGAAAGAAAGAAAGAAAGAAGAAAAGAGAAAGAGGATAGAAAGAAAAGAAAAAAATTGGAGACATGCACGAGAGGAAGAGAAAATGAGACAGCTAAAATCCCCCCATTCCATGAAGGGAAATTATCCTCAAAACAAAAGGCAATAACAAGCTTATGGGGCCGCCATAAAAATGAGAACAATAAACACTCAAATCATGCCTGTGTGTGTACGTGTGTATTAGTGCATTTGTTTGCCCGTGTGTGTTTGAGGAATTGCGTGTACATGCGTGTGCTTGTACAGTATGTCTATGTGCACAAATAAGCGTATGTGTGTGTTTTTGTATGGTGACTATTAAAGTGATAATTTAGGACACAATAGCAGTCTGATGCACTGATGATAGTCCTCTGCAGAGTACAGCTGCTGGTTGATTATCTGGGCTTCCCTCCATGCACACACTAGCCACCCCTGCTTTAACTGAGGAGATGGATTCATCAGAGAAGCTAAATTTGAGCAATTAAGCATTACAAATGATTGGAAGCAATATGTGTGTGTTTAAGATTGGACATCTTCATCAGATTCACACCGGTGAGCAAGCAGGTACCTGACTCTTGGAGGCAGCCACCTTTGCAAACAGAGCCTGAGACACCTTGGCTCTCTTCATCTCATGCTGAATCTCCTCGTAGATCGAAGCGCTCACATTGAGAACACAACTGTCTGTCCTCAACCCTCTGTCACTTGTAACTGGGGACAGTCTTGCCTAAAAAGAGATAGACAGAAAGACAGACAGACAACAAAACTGGGTTTAAATGTGAGCTACAGTAAGCAACTAAGTAATGGGCCATATGCAGCAAAGTGAAATTAATACACAGTACAGAGCAAAAGCAATTCTGGCTTGATCAGGTGCTCTGGCAAACACATTTTCAAGTATTGAGAAATGGGAACCTGGTAAGGGATCATGTCCTTTATGCAGCCCTAGGAGCACCTATACAAAGAGGGGTGTAGTCTGGTGGTGAATACTCCCTTGTAATGAAGCTGCTCCCTGGCAGGAGAAGCAACTTCATGTATATTAGAGGAAACATGTAGCAACCTGTAACCTCTCCAGCTCCAGGGCAACAGAGGGAGTCAGCAGCATAGTGCACAGGGAGCTGGCCATGGGGGGGGGAGACACACAGCAGAGATGAACTGATGAAAAATAAACTATTAGGGAGGACTCATTAAAGACATGACTAGATGAAGCTGGTAGTGTCAGCCAATCTTTCGATTTGCTGTCATAAAAGAACAAGAGAAGGTTGACATGCTAATGACATGTTAAGCTGGTATAATGTTAACCATGTTTGCCATCTTAGTTTAGCATGTTAGCTTACTAACAATAAGCATACTAAATCAATAAACACAACATACTGCGGCTGACGTCAATAATGTCATTACTTTAACAGGTATTTGCATAAAATTACAATTTTGACCTGATGATGGCATTAACAGCTAAGGTAAGTTTGGTAACATTACCAAATGTATCACAAATACCTAAATGTCTATAACAAATGTCTTGGCAATCCATTGGTAGAGGTTGACCATGAATGTTACCCTGATGCCTGTTCTGTTAAAGGAAAGGTCAGGGGTCAGTAAGCTTCACAACTTCACAACAACTTCCTAATATGATGTACGATGTCTTGTTGTTCATTTTGTCCTTTATATTTAAACTGACCTAGTTTGATTTGTGTTCTCTCTCTATTCATGCAATATATGTCAAAGATCTAAAATCTGCTAAATTTTACTTTTGCTTAGGTACAGTATAAACAGTGGTTTAAGTACTATAGTAAAAATTCAGCTAAGTAACAGTTCTCCCATTTTAATATTCCAGTGCTCTTTATGATCAAACACATAGTTAAACATTTAACGGCAGCTTTGTGACACTGATTTTTTATTTTATAGCTTTCTTCCTCTCTTTGTCTGCTGGCTGACCTGTGTGGGTCTTGGTGGCGTGTTATTGCAGCTGGGGGTGAATCCTGTCAGGCTTCTGTCTTTCTCCTCCTGGTAGATGCGCTCCCTCTCCGCTTCGGGGAGCTGCAGGAAGCTGTACATGGCCCGGAGGTTGACCAGCAGAGACTGGGAGGCGTGTATAGGGTCCTCCTCCTTACGCAGAATCTCTGACAGCAGTCCCTGGTAAAGGCACACACACACACACACACACACACATAAATCGATACTCATTGATTAGTAGAAGCAAGCAATACGCAATAAAACATCCATGAAATGTCAAATTAATTCACACATATTGGCAATATTGACACGCACAAGGTCAGTCTAAGGTTGCATAAGCCACAGCCCATTTGCCCTCTTTGGTTGTTTTATTTTTGCTGCTTTGTCTGCATATATACGAGTTGCCCAGAACTGTTAATATTAAAACAAAATAAATCGCCTGTCATCCAAACTTTAATTATTTTTTGATAGGAATGCGTCTGCGGGACATACATCATTTGTGGAAATGATTAACTATGAATGGTAAAACAGATGGGAGGCAGTGTGAATAAAAATCTCCACTTCTGAATATTGCACACAACTTGTAATGTCGCGCGATATCGACTCATGCCAGTATTATCAAATGAACCAATCTTAGCTAGCATGCAAGATAACTCCTCAGTTATATCAATATATAAATAATACTTGGAGATGGTAAGAAAGCATACACAAAAACTCATATAGCCTTGCTATAACAACAAGGTCTACCTAGCCTTGCTAATTGTTCTGGCTAATGCTCTGCTACGCCCAAACTTCAATAGATGCCTTATGTTCTTTTTTTATAAATTGTATGTATGTATGAGAGTCAGATAAAATTATCAATACCACTCTTATTACTCCATTAAATATAAACAGGCAGCAGGTTTTAGCTTAGCTTAGCATATAGACTGAAAACGGGAAAATGGCTAGAGTGGAAGCCACTGAGCCCTGCCAAGAAATAGACTATTGCTTTTAACTACAATTTTTTTTCGAAGCAGACAAGTTGTATGATGTTCAAGAAAAAAGAGGAAAGAAAACATTAAAAGCTAAGTGCACTGATGATACCGATTTCTTTCCATAGAATTTAAATGTATCTTACAATCAATATGTAGGCATATTGAACGGTTCAGTCTTCAAAACCCCAGACAATCTTTCAAATGCTGACTCCTTTCAAAGTGTGTGTTGACACCTTAAACATCACACATACAGGGGATAACATGATAGATCTCATATTAAAGATTATAGATTTCCATTATCTTTATGTAAAGTTTCTCAGATCCCTGAAGGAATTTTGCAAAAGCTCCATATCCAACTCTGGATCTCATTCAAAGAGGCTTCAAGTCGCTGTCCTGTGGTTTAGTGTATCACAGCTATAGGTGATACAGAGCCAGTTCCCAGTCAGTGCTGAGCACACTATAGTGGCTAGCATTATTCTGGGTGTATGTGTGTATGCAGGAAAGCCTTCAAACATCACATGCAGATTGTAAGGCTTCCTTCCTGAAAAGAAATCAGATTTCACACTGGCATGGAAATAGAGAGAGAGGAAACAGGCTACTTATTCAAATCATGGATCATCTTTGGATCCACCAAGCAACCCATCTTCCAAGTAGATGGAGGCTTTACAGGAATCGCCAAATGATAAATGCTCCCCTCTCGTCTATATGGCATCTTGGCATCATGCCCACCTTATATGGCTGGCACTGAGGCACCTTGGACTTGGCAATGGGGAAACATGGGGGTGGATAATAACTTGCTCTGCTTATTGTGATGAAAATGATAATGACGGTAATAATAATAATAACAATAGGCTTAGCCTGTCTTCTGAGCCCCATTTCTGTGGGTGTGGTGGTGAATGTAAGATGATGGACACAGATAACGTGGCATTTTAGTGTTAGAGGCGATGGCAGAGGGTGATATGGATGCGAAATGAGGGAGACCAATAGAAGGAAAAGGGGAAAGATTAAAAAAAAAGATGGATTGACAATCAGAGGTAGAGATTAAACGAATAAAAGGGCTGCCAGAGTGAAAGGTGGCAAGATGGAGGGACAGTAAGATAGAGAAAGAGGCAGAGAGGGAGACAGCATTTCTCCAAGGGGTTGTGATTAGTTGGCCCAGCAGCTGCTTCAGTGCTGGCACCAGCTTTGTGCTGCAGAGAGCTGGCACAAACACACACACACATACAGACACACATACATGGGGGGAGGGGGCACTGCGGCAAAGGCCATGCCAATGTGCAAACCATCAAACACACATATTCACAGAACACACATACCTACAACTGCAACACCAGAAAACACTTCCAAAAGATAACTGCCAGCAAACCTCTTTCAACACCATTCAGATCACAGTCACTGTGATTAATGTGTTCCATACCTGGGTCCGGTTAAATGCCACCCGGGCAAAGATGGCTTGGGAGATGCCTGCTCTCTTCAGTTCCTCCCTCACACAGTGGTAGATGTCACTTGGCACGTCTGTTGGCCCCACAGAAGACACAACCAACGGCTGGTTTTGTGGCCCAGCCGCAGGTCCTCCCCCTGGGCCACAGTGTGCCTGCTGCGGGGCTTGGGTATCAGGGGGTTTAGAGAAGACCTTGGCAGGAGCCCTCCCTACGGGGGGATGGTTGAGATACTGCTGTGGGGACGATGAGAGACCCTGGCCAGCCAGCATACGGCTAACAGCATACTGCTGGTTGAGAAACTGGGCCATCACCAGCTGCTGGTTGACCATTTGGGAGCTGAGAGGTTGGCTTACCAACCCATGGGGGCGCAGGCCGAGCGGGGAACGACCACATATATTGGCTACTTCTCCACGAGAAAAAAGAAGTGTGGAGCTCTGGTCAGCTGGGCTACTTGTGATTGGCTGCTGGCTGAGGGTGATATGTGTGGACTGGTCAGAAAAGCTGTCAATCTCTGGTGCAGGAAAGACAGATGTACAATTATTAACACACAAAATACTGACAGTGTGTCCCAAATCCTTCCTAGATACTAATTCCAAGCAGGTTTTTTGAGTATGTGGTGTGTTCACACTGGACAAAATGAATTATAACCAGCATGCATACTAAAAACTATTTTTAAGTGAATTGTGACTTGTAGTCAGACACCTCCAGAAACATCTTAGAAATAGGTACTACATCTTAAGAAAAGTTTAATCGACATTTAATTGACATTTCAAAGTCGGAGTTTGACTGATGTAAGTAGCATACAATATAAAATGAGTATGTAGTATGGATTTAGTACGTGCTGTAAGACTTATCAGGCACACTTAATGTTTGCCAGCTTGATTGAAATCCCTCACCCTTGAAGCATTTGGTCTTCTTGAAGTGCTTGTACCATCGACCAAACTCGTGACACTTGGCAGCTGAGACATTTGCATAGTAAGTGCTATTTACAATAGATGATATCATACTCTGAAACAGAGGGGAAAAGACAATAGAAATTCATTACATTTTCCAAGCTCCTGCTATGGGCGTCCTGGGTGTCTCAGCTGTTCACACATCTGATATTAATGAACTCAGATCTGTGTTATTAAAAAGACCCCCAGGTAAATAGGATAATAAAGACAGATGAGTGTGTCAGTGTGTGAGCTCTGCGTGTGCCTATGTGTATGCAAACATGTATGTGTGCGTGCATGTGTGTGTGTAATCAAACAAAACACCAGAGGTCATCAGAGACTATGCCTCTGTCTGTCTGTCTCACTCACACTCATGCAAAAACACACACACACACAGTTTTTCCCAGAAGACCGTCCTCTTCTGCAATCTTTACATCTGATTACACCTTTCATCTTCTCATATTTATTTTAATCTGCTTCTCGCAAACAAGAAAGGGGGTAAAGGGAGTGATAGGAGAGAGAGAGAGAGAGGGAGAGAGGTGGGGAAGGAAAGAAGGGGGAGGGAGGATTGGCTTGTATCAGATCTGCAGAGATAGTGAGCAATTTCTCTTTATCAAACTGTAGATGTCCTACGCACCCTCCGGCAAAATAACAGATAGACTAAGTTGATAATTATGAATATTCATCAAGAGGCCTTCCCCCAAATACTGCATCATTAATGTAAAATTATTTCTACAGTTGTGTCTGTATTTGCTTAATTAAACACACCAGAATTGAAGAAGATCTTAAAACCAGATTCGGATGTGCTCTGCTGAATCAGTCAAGAGTGCAGAAAAAGCGAAATAGCGAGATAGAGATGGACAGATAGAGTAAGCGAGAGTAAGACGGTGGGTGAAGCTGACAGACAGACAGAGTGACAGGCAGACAGGTTGGCATTGGAAAGAATCAAGATAAGCAGCAGCCCAGGCAGTGGGGCTTTTTAAGAGATAGCCATCTCTTTTTATCCGTTTCTCTTTCGCGCTCTGCCCCCACACCTTATCTACCTCTGCATCTGGACTTCCTGTCGAACTATTGGACCTCTCGCTTATCCTGCTTCACGTGTCAAAATGGGCACAAACACGCACACATACACACACACGCTCACAGGACATAGAAGGGCAAAGACATTACAGCCACTTTGAACTTGCCAAACTTGTCCTCTTCTCTTCTTCTTTTGCAGATGCTCTGTGTATGTGTGTGTCTGTGTGTGTTTGTGTGTACCTGGGAGAGTGGGCACTCCTTGGCTAGGGTGCTCTGGTTCATGTCCTTGAGGAGCTCCTTCAGAGCGTTTCTCACTGTGGAGTGACTCCACTGCTCGGCTGGCAAATCCTCCAATTTTGGACAGCTAGACAAAGAGCAAATTAAAAACACTTGACTTGCAGCATTAGGATAGATTACACTTTAAAGGGGAAGACCGGTGATTTAGTACTGCACTTCCATGGGGAACTCACAATCAATAAACCTGACTTTTAGTCCCCACTATGATTTAAGCTCCAAAAAATGTTGGATGTAATGTAATAGCGTCTTTCATTAGACCCTAATGACATCATTAAGGTTATTTTCTCATTTTTTGTGCCTTAAATCAATAGTGACAACTGAAGAATGACAGGAAAGTGGGGGGAGAGAGAGCAGCATGACATGCAGCAAAGGGTCAGAGTCGAACCCATGGCCACTGCAGCAAGGACTCTGCTATCAGGACACCTCATACAACTGTTTACATAGGTTTATATTAATACCTCTTATATTAATACTTCAGGCTTATATTAATACTCATACTTCGTGATGAGGAAACAAAACTTAATTTGTAAAATCAGTGAAGTGAACCTTTAAAAATAAGATACAGCCTCTTATAGCATGCACTGGGTGATGGGCAAGCAAGATAACAAGTATGTTTCCAGTCTAACAAACACACTCTTTCAAAGGTATGGATGAAAGTCTGGACTGTGGGAGGAAAATAAAGCACTTTATAAACTAATGAATTAAACAAAGTCATGCAAGCACTGTGAAAACATAGATGACCCCAGGTCCTTCTTTATATAGAAGGAAGACATTTTGTCATGGCACAGCAGGACAAGCACAGTCACAGGTGTAAATAATAAAATTAATGATGTCTGAATTCCATTTAGTGGCTTTAATTGTTAGCCATCGTTAATGTTATGAGTAACACCTGTGTATTTCTATGACAAGTCAAAATGTCTGCTGTGGAAAAGACCTATATTCACTTCCCTGTACTTCTTCTGCTTCTCTATATTTGTATAATAAATATGCTACACTGTCCTAACTCTCATGGCGGATCTGACCTAAGACCCAATAAGTGGCACAGTGGTCAAAAACAACTGTCAAAACAATGGAAGGGACATTCATTGTTTAAAAATGTTACAGGAAATAACTGTCCTCAACTATTAAAATGCTCATTAATATTCATCGCAAACGAGCAAATAAAGCCACTCATTAAACTTAATCTAATGGAATTAAAATTAAAAAAAAGAATTTTAGCAGTCTCTGCTGGAGACATCAAAATACATTTTGTATGGCTCTGATTTGGTCCATGCCCTTTGGTTATTTTGTTTTCTTTATACAAATTAGGGATGGTGGGTGACTGGAGTCTTTTCCAGCATGGAGTGGGAGAAAGACTGGGAAATAGTCAACCGGTCTTGACTCCATTACAGGGAAAACAGGCAATCACACTCACATTCAGAGTCTGTGAACTCCATACAGACAGGACAAGGAATAGAGCCTGACCGTAAGTGCAGACTACCTACCTGTGCAGCTGTATTTTAAGGGTGATAACATGGTGAACATCCTGCAGCATATCAGCCACTGTGGCATCCGGAGCATCTGTTACACAGGATAGAGGCACCGGGTTCCACCGGCCCACCTGGATCAGACCTGAAAAATACACACAAAAGTGAGTTAGAAAACTGTAAGAAAAATATATTTTTTGTGTCCTTTTCTCTGTGTGCAAGTCTTTATGTACCTTTTGCCTGTGCAGCAGAGCTGTGTGAGTAGCCCAGTGTCAGCAGGGCCATCTCTATCAGCTGGTTAAACAGCAGATCTCTCTTGACCAACACAAACTCTGCATGTTCTTCTCTCCTCTCTCTTTCTAGAGGGCTTTCCTTGTGCTCCACCACGCAGAACACCGGCAGCAGGCTCCCTGAGGTGATGGACACAAGTTATGTCATACAGCATTAAATGGGAGATTGCAATGCATAGGGCCCACATAAATATGACACAAGGGAATTCTTCCACCAAAGTATCATTTGTAAGGCTGTTATCTTACTCCCAGTCCTGTGTAACTAAAAACCCACTGAGCTTCTCCTTTGCATCTGTTCTCTGAACCCTTCCCCATAACAGTCGTGTACCTCTGCTGTGCCAGCTCTTGCTCTGTGGCTTTACTGTGGTGGGTTTCTGGACCAGGCAGGGGTTTTTGGCCACAGGACTCCCCTGCCTGCTCCTCTCCTGAGCTGAAGGTCCCGCTCCGTTTTGTTCTAGTCGAGCCAGCTTGGCAGGAGGGGGCCGGGGGTCTACAACGAGATCACTGCCCTCAGGTTTCTTGGCTCCATTACACAGGGCGTCCATCTGTGGTCTCACACTGATACAGAGACACAGGCACGTTAAAGAAAGACTGTAGGAGGTAAACAAATGAAATCGACTCATATTATGTATATCTGTGGTCATCAGAGTTTATGCTGACCCTTTTTACATAAAGATATTACATATTTAAACTAACTTTTGCAATGACAAGCATAGTGTTTAGCATATGCTTGTGTCTAGAGATTGTGAAAGAAAGCTGTTTCAGTTATTTACAGTTTTGTGTCTAACTAGAAAATGAGGAAGCGCTATGTTTGACACACACGTACACACTCCGAACAGAAGGATATCCGGATCCGTATTAGGGGATGACCTTCACCCAAATGAAGCGATTTGGATAACCCTTTAAATCCAGTAAAAGTCCAGTGAATGCTACAGCGCAGTTTCCCATAATAAACCTGCTGACATCTCCAGGCGCGCCGCTGCAAGCGACAGTGATTCAGTTCATTATCAGCTCCTAAATGCGCGCTAATCGTCCCACGTCTGATTCCGCTGAAGTTTGATCGGGGCGAAAGCAGTCTGTTTCAGTCGGCACAGCGTGCATGCCCGACCTGCCATCATACATCAACAGCCCGTTCCTGTAGACATAGACTGTATCCATATGTTATCCCCGCTTCCATTGATCTCCAGTTGGGTAACAGACCCACCTCGCCTGGCTGTCGGCACGCGTCCTTTTTACTCACACGAATCGTCCGTTTAACATCGACATGATCTAAGTCTAAGTAGTTTTGCCCCTTGTCCCTCCTTGATCTCCGACCGCGCTTCGCTTTCCGGTGTGATAATAAACTGGCCTTAGCGCAAGTTGAGAGCGACCTCCCATCCAGAGCACCGGGGCATGCTGCTACTGGGGATCTGGCTCAGGAGAGAACAATACAGGGCTTGGAGCTCCTAGAGTACATTCCCTGTCATATATTATGCTCCAGCACTGACTCCGGGACAGCAGTTGGTTACACTTCAAAGCCCTATGCGCACGCGGAGAGAGAGAGAGAGAGAGAGAGAGAGACTCACACCCCCACACACAGTCTCATAAATACGCGGACCCAGCTGCATTAGCATATGGTGTAATAATGAATTCACTAGCGCGCTCCGTAAATGTATTAAATGTGACAATTGCGCATAAATCTATTTATTATTTTCTGCCGCATGCTGTGCACGCACTTATTATTGTCTTTAGGGTACTGGAGCTCTCCATGGTAACAAAGTGGAGCAGGACGAGGTGGAAGAGGCTGACTGATATTAACTTTTGAACGTTGATGTTTTATTGTCACAAGATTTTCTGTGGCTCATGTTTTATATGTGGATAATCTCGGTGTTTACTCCATGCAGCCAAGAAAGTGCTCTATATCGCATCACAATTGCGGAAATGTATTGTATGATATAGGCCAGTAGTTCTTAACCTTTTCGGTGTCAAGGACCCCCACACTGAAACACTTCCCATCAATCCCAGGGGGTCCCTGTACCCCAAGTTGAGATCCACTGGCATAGCCTATAGTGTAGTATATAGTAGAGTATATTGTATTAGCCTATAGTACTTAGTACTCACTAAACTATATCATAGGTATGTTTAATACAATGAGGCCTATATAATAGTATAGTATATTATTGAACAGTATATTAAATATATAAACAGTATATATAAGTACAGCAGCCCTTACTTATAGGGTATGTTATACAGTACTATACTTATACTACACTACACTATGGTATACGATAGTATACACTATAGGCTATATGAATACTTGTATGTTATATATACTATATGATACTATGCTATACTATACTATAATAGTATAGTGTACAACAATAATTAAACTACAGTGTATGGTATGGTTTATTGTAGTATAATTTAGTATTGTATAGTAGTACAGCAGCCCTTAGTAGTACAGGTTGCAGTGGTTTTTACTATACTATACTATACTATACTATACTATACTATACTATAGTATAATAGGCTTTATTTATTATTTATATATACATTAGTATAGGCCTATATATATAACAATATATATAT